CCCCAAAACCCCAAAACCCCAAAACCCCAAAACCCCAAAACCCCATAAAGAAAAACTAATATAGAAATATCTGAAACAATTTAATGATTAAAAATGTACAATATATCAATGCATTTTAAAATCTTTTCCCTGTAGCATGTTTTTACCCAACCCTGGTAATTCCTTATCTTCCCAGGATCTCTGTTACCTCCCTCACCCTCTCTGAAACTCTCATACAAAGTATCCGAGTGCTATCCCAACTTCTGACCCCACCACCACCTTACAACCCTCAAAAATCATGAAAACACCATTAAAACCCTCTTCCTCTTCCCTCACCCAACTTCCCTCTACACCTCTAATCCCCCCTAATCCCCCCTTCTTCCTTCTACCCCCAATCTCCTTCACCTCTCACCGCACAAAATCTCCTAAAATCAGCCTATAGTACAACTTCTCACCGGTCACATCCTAAATTTCACGTATAAATTTCTTAAGGAATTTTTGAGTATTTAGATCGATCCATATTTCGTCAGAATCTTTTCATAGACTTCAGTAGTATGAACTTCACTCTGTATGCTGACTAAATTGGGGCGCTTCTTAAGATCAGACGATTTCGTCAATCCTGAAACTACTGTTCCGATTTGATGCAATTTTTTATCATTCTCATGAGGATTGACATATTTTGCGATTCCAAGCTCAAGTGTTTTGAGAGTCGTTCCTCTGAATCAATCTGAAAAGTCAAGATCACTAGGGAGAGAAAATGTACAATCCGAGATCTTTAGAGAATCGCAATGCTTGCTTGATACAAACAGCCTTTTCAATTGCTTTAGGTTGATGCTAGAGACTGAGTACTGGACCTACCTTTCAAAATCATTGATGAAAAATCGTCTGGATTTATTTATAGAGGGACTGAGAAGTGTATTAAAATATCTAGTATTCTTTACTCCATACATATAGACTGCCAAAAAGCCCTTAATAGCAGTTGGAGGGGATCTGGCAACAAAATTTCTGAAATATTTATTTCCGAAGTCAATGTGGTCAAACTTAATGCAAGGGATCACAGGTATCTTTATCTTGGAAATTGCTTGAATTGTTTTAGAGTCTCTACAGAATGTCAACCTCCTTTAGTTTACCTGTAGACATTGAGATCCAGATTCAATCTTATTGGTGCATATGATGTATACTTTTTCTTCAACATTTTGAATGAAACATGCTTGAATACCTGAGCATTGATTTCAAAGGATTCTTGTTCAATCTGTTCCTCTGTTCTAAAACCAAAGGTGAAAAGTTTATTGACAGAGCTCATGGCGTAAAATTCTGTCTAAAGTGAACTCATTTCGGAATCTTAAGCTAGTAGTGAGTATGCTGTTTGAACAATAACTCACTATTTTCACAATCCATCTAGCATATATCAGGTCTTCAATTGAGTATCTTACCTTCTCCTCTCTACCACTTCGTTGCTCCTTGGATCTATAATGGTCTGGTTAAATATACATCCTCTCTTCATCCCAAAGGTGTTAAAACGCAACATTCCCATCTTCATGACCTAAATCTCTCTACACCGTCCCTAACCTCCCCCCCACCCCCCTACCGCCCCCTAATACCCCTAACCCCCTCCTTGCCCCCAGCATCCCTCTTCCCTCTTACTCTCCTCTTCCTCCATTCTTATCCTAATCCAATATTATTCTTACATAAAGGGGTTTTGGGGTTTTGGGGTTTTGGGGTTTTGGGG